AGGCTATAATTATAATTATATGACAATTAGACTTAAAAAATACCAAATAAATGTATAAAATATACAAAAATTACCCTACATAAATATAGCTTAGATTACCTCATTAATTTTTGAATTTGAAAAGAAGCAAAACAGATTGTAAAGTATTACTTTACATGAGGAGTATATATAATCAAGTAAAGAGCGTAAAGTAATCTGTCTCTTCATGTTAATCCTCTTTTTAACACATTGGATATGTCGTTAAAGTTGCATTATTTGAAGGAATAAGTTACTATTATTCCTTTTTGTTCTTTATGTAATACTCTTAAGAAAAAAATCAAGAGTAAAATGACAGGTAATCTTGCAAACAAATAACAAAGTTTCATTAAGTAAACAAATTACAAATTGTTGTACAGACGGTTCTCCCACTCTGCTTCAAATTTAAGAACATAAACCCAAAAAGGTTCACTTGGCCAAACCTCGTGATAAACTTCTGTTAAAATACTACCTAAAGGTTGTCCAAGTGAATCTACTAAAATTGCTAAGGCTTCCCAATCAGATAGTTTAATTTGGTTAATATCATCAATTAGTGCGTCTCGGGTAAACTGATAATTTTCAATATGTTTAGCTAGCGAAGCCCTAAGCTCTTTAAATTTCTTTTCTCTTTCCCTTCGTTCAGCCCTTCGATCTCTTAACTTATTTTGTATCGGCCTTGGGACATTCCTGATGACTTCAGGCTCGGAGTCAGAATCATTATAGGAATAAATCCTGCCACGACGTACCCTTCTACGTTGTCCCCTTCCTTGACTTCGACAACTCCCAGTTGTAATAATTCGAACTTGTCCTTGTTCAGTATCTGAAATAGGACCAAGGAAACAATAAGAATGGCTACAACCACTCAATGTGACAACATATATCACAATTAATTGTAGAAGGATATCAGTCCATATGGTAACAAAAAACAATAATTCCAATAGATCACATAAAATTTACTTAACTAATAACTTATGCAAGTCTACGGTGAACATTGATATAGATGGATACTATAATCCAAAAATAATATTGGGTGGAAGTATGGAACATCAACAGAAGTGGAAAAGTAGATGGCATGTAGACGAAATACGGAAGAAGCTTTTGAAACTTAAAATAACCCTTCTATGTAAAGGGATCTGTGACCGACGCTACAAAAAGGAAAGGTCATAACGTATATATGAATTAATAGAGACATTTCAGTTTATTTTTATATATATATTATTATTACTATTATATATAGACATATTAATGGTAGTTGCTTTTTACAACTCCCATTACTCTTCTGCTAATTGTAACTTTTCCTTCCACTCTATGGCCATTCCACTTGTTATAAAGAATGACGTTTGTTAATTAGCCCAAGAAAAATCAGAGAATAAAAAAATGAAGTAGGAAATATGGAGTATTTGTAAGCAGTGAACAAAGAGACCCTCTGTAAGCAACGATTATGCAAATCGCAAATCTGCAAACAGTGGATTAAAGTTCATACCCTTGTTATCGGGAGAAAATTTAGACTGTTTCTGCTTTCGTATATCCATTTGATTTTTTCTGGCTAGTTTCTTCTCTTCTTCCATGTCAAATTGAGTCGTAACTGGTGTAGTTGTCACAAGTTGTAGAGCCGTCTATGGAAGAGAAGGCAGTTGATGATACAGGCTTATTAAAAAGGTACGTGTATACACTATACTGTAGTCAAATTGAGAAGTATAGTGTAGTTAAATTGAGAAGGCTTTGCAGAGAGAATTTTTACCTAATATTGTAGGACATTCCTCTCTTTTTCGTTTTTCTCTAACTTTTTCTTCGTCTGACCCCTCTCTTTTTGTGTTCTTTATATAGATAGAAGATAGATGATGGGATTATTATAGTGGGAAAGTGGGGAGGATTGGGAAGGGGACGTGAAGGATATGGTTGGGATGTGAGGAGTGTTGTGTGGGAGTGGGAAATCATAGGGGGGTATGAGGGATGTGAGACAGAATCTGCGAAAAACATCCCAGATTTAAGGGACGTGTGTTTATTCCTTAAATTCAAGGTTGAAGAATTTCTCAGATTGGCTACTGGATATTATAGCAACCGGAGTTTTGGATGCTTTCTTCCCTGAAGCAACGCGTGAATATGTTCCGTTAGTTGAAGAGGTCTGGAAAGATCCTGCTATACAGGAAACATACAAGAGGAAGAATGAGCTTCATTTTCTTCCAGATGTGGCGGATTACTTCTTGGGCAACGTTTTTTGCATATAACTTGCTTCTTGAACCAAGCTGTCCAATATAGTCCGTGTATTGAGTTTAGTCCGTCAACATCATTTAATAATTAAAAAAAAATCAAAATTTCATAAACTGAATTTCAACTCTGTTTATACCGTTATGTTTGCTGACAATTGAAGTTCAGGCTTTATGTGTAGTTTTGATATTGTATATTAATTTTGTTCACCATTATATTATTGTGATTCTGTTTATTCACATCTTGTTGCAAACTATCCACACTGTTTTTAAGACAATAAAAGGAGACTTTGCGTGGAGTTGGAGTAAAGGATGAACAAATTAAGAGAAAAGAGGTATTCATCAATCTATCTACAATTTTGAACTCCAACAGGATCTGCTCTCTCATCTCAAGGAAGACCCTGCATTATTTCAAACATAATTCTGCAAATCGTTTCTGATCTTGTCAATGATAATCTGAAAAGTCGTGTATCTTGATAGTCCCAAGCTTGGCAAATGCTATCCTTGAGGAAAGCAGATTTTCTCAGCTTGTGCACAACGTAAAACGGAAAAGACTTAAGGAGGAGTTCCTTGTACTGTATGGTAGACCTAAAACAAAAATGGTAATGTCATTTTTATTAATATCCAAAAGACTACAGCAGTCTCTGATGACAATTTTTACTGTTGAAGAACCAAAACTTTCTCAAGAAAGAGGAAATGATAGCACAATAATGCCATTAAGCTTTAATAACTAAAGGGGGTGATAGATCATTTAGACGACGAACAGCGATAGCAACGGACTAAAACATATTATCACATTATCGATCTAACACTCTCAAACAGAATACAGTGTTTGATTAACCAAAGTGTTCTTAATATCTCATCCAATTTGAGGAATGTCTTGCTCTTTTCTCGTAAGGAACTTATAAGCGTCGATCACTAAATCATCATCGAACCCCGACAATTTTTGAACATATGAAACCGCTTAAATTCCCCTTTATATGTGGTCAATTCAAAATTAGTAATTGCCTCCCTTCTGTTGCACTTTATAGCAGTCTTATCGTACGGCGTGGTCCAAAAATGACATAACAGAAAAGGGAGTGGGAGAGTCAAGTTATAGTCATTAGACATTGCAACTTCCATCTCATTGTCAATCAGTCCTAGATAGATAAAGAGCAACATATATCCAATTACACGATATTCTTTCTTCTTTATAAAATATGTATAATAATATGATAATATATCAAGAAACCTTTTTAACAGTTATATCGCTGATATTATGACATTCCTAAGGTATGGTGATATAAGCGGTTAGTTACTTCTTACTGAGAAAGTAGAAAAACTGAGCTTCCCATCGTCCATATTTGTGCATCGCCGCTCCCTTGTATTTTGTACTTCCTCTAGAGAACCTAATGTTTAGACGTCGAAGTATTTGCACAAACTCTGCTTTTCTGAAATTAGACATATACTTACCAAGTGACAAAACAATAATAGTGAGCCAAAATTAGTGAATAAGTGTCTACAGTTTGTGTAGAAATTGTATGCTTAAAAACTATCATGCGGCTCGACATAATGTAGGTTGTGAAAGCATTTCTCATATGCTTGCACAATTCAATTTTTTTTAAAAAGCCTTGTTTTAGCAGAGTTGCTGAAAGACCAATCATCCAGTCCAAGGCATTGATTAAAATAAAAACAAACCTTTAAATGGAATGCTCAAATAATGAACAGACTCTTGTAGCTTTTGCAGGGCAATGGGAATAGGTAGACCTTTTGCTTTTGCGAAAGCAACAACTCCGTGATAGTTCCCACAAGCCAACAAAGCAGTATACTTGACAACTTGTCTCCCCTGTATCACATTTCAGCCATAATTTGTGAAATTGTTTATTCAAGCTCCATTAAAAAAGAATGACAAATCCATTGGAATAGCCGCATTACCTTAGTGACCTTACATGTTCTATTGACATCAATGAGTTTCACATCAAAACCCTGCCATTGTCAAGAAATATTAAGTGAAATGAAAGAATGATCGCGTCCGATTCCGTGAAACACAGATTTTACGAAATAACTTAGAATATATACCCATAAGAATCATGGACATAACATCGGAGAGTGATAATGTTAATGTAAGGTTCTTGAAGAACTAATAAGAGTTGTCAACATAGAAACAAATATATGCAAATGTGGAAACAGGGTTCCCACTTCACATTTCACTTGAGGGTCTTAGGAATACCGAAGATATTAGCATATAAAATTTCAGGCGTCCAACCAGGTGTCCTTATCAGGCGTCCAACCAGGTGTCCATAACCATTAGAGAGATCTGATCAGTTGGATCATAGAAGATACATAAGCATCTGGAATGACAACTGAAAATGGAAGCAGAATATGCTATACACACTTGTGAAAACATTTAATGTCACTCCAAAACATCACTCAAAATAGCCCCCGTAACTTCTGAAAATCAGCCAAGAACGCAGCTTAAATTCTTCCAAAACGCAGCACAAAAATGGCCTGCAAATATCCATGAAAGCACACCTAAACCCAGCCCCAAAACAGCTGCGAAAAAATACCAAAACGCTGCTACTTCCAGCTAAAAAAAAATCCAAAACTAAAATGACACAGGTAATTACTTTCGTTGATATGAAAATAACAATATTTGATAAACAGGTAATTACTTATGCAACTGCATAACTCCCCATCCTTATTCTCTATGAGATGCCAGAGCAAGCTATCGTCTACATTTTTACAGCATTTTGTTGCAGCTAATCTTCGATATACTACTTTTAACATTTAAAAAGAACATAAAAGCCCATGTATTGAATAGCGAAGTAGAATAACACATTTTCTTCACTCAATTCGATCCAATATTCTTCTTTCTTCATGAAGAATATCTTCTGATAGTAAATGCCATGTTGCTTGCCAAACAACTTCTGGACGTGACATTGAATTTGATAAAAGTAGCATAGCAAATAATTGCCTAAGATATGATGTCGTTCCCAAATTACTTGCTTCCATTATAGCATCCACGTATTCCTTGTCATCATCTAATAAACCCAACGCATAACATGTATCTCTAAAAGTCTCATGATCATCCCCGTTGATTTTTTTTAAATCGTCATAACTCTTTGGACCTTTAATGATATTCAACAACAATCTAAGGTAATATTGCTCGCCAGATGCAGGTGGGACAAAGAATATTCTCCCAATAGAAAATGCAGATGTTCTTCTTTTTTCCCATCTTTTTAATTTTTGTTTCCACACAAACTTTAGAGGAAATTCTGCATAAGTCAATTCTCTTGCTTCAGGAAATGTCTTATTAGCTTCAAACCAGCTTAAAAACATAGATTCCTTTACAGTTGGTCTATTGACAACAGCATCAATTGGATCATCATCCGAAAATATGACCGTCTGATTATTTGGTAGGTGAAAAGATAGCCTTTCTACCGGTGGTTCTCTATGGTGTATTGGGAATTTGAAAATTCTCCAAGCAGCTTCACAAGGTGATATGTATCGGCAATCACAATACATATTTATTTCATCAACGACCCCCGATTCTTCATTATTTACACTTTGAGAAAAAGCTGCGGTGACACGATTATTACCTTTATTTACATACTTAAATAAGTATTTAATGGATCGTGATTGATTACACCACTCCACGTTAATATGTGCACCATACTTCATTAATAAAAATCTATTGTGTGGTACAACATACCTATTATCCAACTCAATACCTACTCTCTTTGCAGTTCTACCATCATCCCTTCTTCTATAAATTGGATACCCATCTTCATCAATTGTAGTTGATGACACAAATTTTTTTGAAAAGTGCTTTGTGCATCTACCATTTTTCATGTACGGAGAAGATTTTCTAGCAGTACCACAAAGACCATGCATCATGAAATTTGTAACAACATTATAATAAGAAGGATCTACTTTTTTATCTGGTAATTCTGCTGAAAGAGGCAAGCCTCGCTTTTGGAATTCAACTGTATAAATCACTGAATAATGAAGATGTAATTAGATCATTAAGCTTAAATGTTAGTTATTTTTAATATTAGCATATGATAACGTTAATGTGCAAACATAATAATTCTGTAAAACATTAAAATTATACCTGCTTTTACTTCTCCAAAAATTTTATTGTCGCGTAGATCCTTTATCATGCGATCCAGCTTGATTTTGAAAACCCTTGTTAAAATGTCGGGACGATCTTCTGGAGATAATCCCCTACTCTCCACAAATCTAGTAATCTCTGGCCATTTTGGGTTGCAAGTAAAAGTGATGAACAGATCAGGGTACCCCGCCCATTTGCAAATTGCCATGGCATCTTTATAATTCTGCAACATGTAACGTACACCTCCCGTAAAGCTGGAAGAGAGTATAACTCTTTGTCCTTGAGAAGAAGGTTCTATATCCCCATGTAAAACAGCATCTTGTAACCTTTTATAAAAATGTGCTCTCAATTGTTTTTGATGAAGCCTAATAAACCTTAATCGAGAATATTCCATCATTGTATAACCATCTACCAAGAATTGCTGAAATAATCTTCTAGCTGACACAATTGTTGGATCTTCATCCTTCCTTTCTTGAATTTTATATGATAAGTACTCACGTGTGCTAACACATTTTCTTCCACCGGTTGAATCATCAATATCATTTAAAGGAATATCTTCTCGGTATCCATCTTCACCATACGGAAATAGTAATGGATATTGCAAACCTAAGTATGCTGCATTTAATTCATTTATCCTTTGTAGTTGTCCAGATTGGCTTTCAACTATGATATCTCTGTCAGACCTTGTTTGTTCAAAATCTCCTACAATCAAAGCAGCTACCTCCGAAACGGTTGGTAAATTGTATCTTCTTCCATCAGAACCTCTTTTCCCAATCAATCTAAGTCTAACATTTGAGGTCCCATCTGTTTGAAATTGATCTCTCACCATTCTAAATGACTTTGCAAGAACATTGTTCTCATCAAGCATTTGCTTCAAGTCATTCACAATTTCAGCATGAAGTTGATTGTTCAATTCACCACGGCTGTACAGAAAAATATTGAATTCAACTAACAATTTATGTCTTATTAAAAATATATTTTTAAATTAATTTGAGTAACCAATTGTATATCGTAACCTGATAGCATGAATTCTATTTTCCACCTCATTTTCTGTATCATAGATATAAAGCTGAGCAAATTTTGGAGAAGATCCCTCCGGAGGCAATAAGCTTCCAATCTGATGATAGTTTTGCCCAGACAATCTGAATGTTCTCGGTCGCTTTATTTTGTTGACAGAGAAATCCACCTTTCCTCCCATTGATATATATATATATATATATGCAAACTTATAGTGTATCTTTTTAATGAAATGAATTTATTTATTAATAGTGTATCTTTTTAATGAAATGAATTTATTTATTAACCTGATCCAAATAATAAATTCTTCAAAATCGAAGGAGGCTCCTTTGGAGTTGGTAGCTTGATTTTTCCACGACCACAACATAAAGTGAAAACAGGTTTTTTATTTTTATACTTCTTCTCAACTCTTTCCTCAAACCAGAAATAAGCCCCACAATATTCACATTCATAATTGGCATCTCCAATATCCCAGTATTCTGGTTGTATGAGAATAAATAAAGAGATAAAGTTAAAGAAGTTATTACATAGAAAGTAAAAGTATGTTGTATATGTAACTTGAAATTACGACATACTTACCTTCATTGGTGATCCAGCTCTCAACTTCGTCATCTAAATATAATAATAATTAGTGCGTAAAATTCGAAATTTAATATATGTGAAAGTTTTAATGCATTTGACCATTATCGAACATTGATGAGTTATATGTAAATACCTTCAACAACATCGTCATCTTCATTTGCATCGTGAATATGTACGTTGGATTGCATATGGCCTTGATGAATAAATTATAATTTAATAAACTTTTATGTATGACTATGAGTTGTGGTTAATTCAAGGACATACCTGGTATATCAGCATCAATATTGTCATTTTCAAATTCTAAATATAAATATTAATTGTTAGCTGTTTTCCAATTTCAAATTTAGGAAAAAGTATATTGTAAGACTGAATTTCAAATAAAAGAGATGCATTTAAAAGAATGAAAATTGGATAAGTGTAACCAAAAAAAAAAAACTCATAAGTAAAATTGTAAAATAACAAACATGATGTACTTGAGAAAATAAAGAGACGCAAATAAATTGAAGAAAATTAAAGTTGAGTTTTTTAAATAATTGTGTTGCCCAAGTTTCGCATATAAATTATATCTTTATAAATTAAAAGCTTCATTATTTATTTGGACATGTATACAGGGGCACCAAAAATTGATTTCCTCAAATTTCCAAAATAATTTTAATAACTTAAGCATAAATATTTCCTTCAAATAATGGTATCTCATTTAAATCAGGTGGAAGTTGTTCTTCCTGCAAATTTGAACTCGACGAACCATATTGGAAATTATGCTCTTGCATTGATATTGGATATTGTGCTTGAGAATAAGATGTCGAAACATGTCCAAAATTTGGATACTGTTGTTGAGACTGAGATGATGAAACTCGTTCACAGATCTTTATGGCTCCACTACGTAATTGAGGGGAATTCAAACGATTTGTTATGTCCATTAATGATTGTTCTGTTTTTCCTTTTTCGAGAGCATTCCGTCTGATAGTAGTAGAATGGATAACGTCTGTAAACCATAAAATTTAAAAAGAGGTAACTTTTATAACTGGAAAAAGGTAAGAAAAGTATCAAAACAAAGATAATAAAATAATCTATGTATGTTTAAGGGGTAGTACATAAGATTTTATATGCTTATTAGAATACTAATTTTTCTCTAATTGCAACTGAGTAAAGCAGGTATAACAACCACTAATAAAGACGATGAACCTGTATGTCTAATAATCAAAAGTAGGTACAATTACAAATGCTGTAAAAATTTAAAATTGCATAAGATGTATGGGATGGGTAAAAATATGAAAAATGATAAAACATATGACATAATATTTTTTAAATTTATTATTCAAACCGAAAGTTACCAAACCGAAAAGAGATACATAATAAAGTATACCAACTCCAAGAAAGACGATACATAATCTATATATGACAGTGCAAAACATACAGGTTCATGCAACTTAAGTGAAGTTATCCTAAAGATTTTATATCAAAAGCCAAAATGCTATATAGAGAAGTTGTATACCATATACATACTGTAAGATAAAGGCAAAACTACGAAATATGAAGCCATTCTGCCGAACTTGAACGTAGAAGTATATAGACAACAGCAGTCGCATATAAATTTTAGGAGTGAAGAAATGCTGAACAATGTATAAGAAGCAGAATGGTACAACAGTTATTTTAAGTTATATCAACAATCAGTCGCATATAAGTTTTATATATACGAATCTTTACGCTATTTTATGAATGATGTTTATGAAGGATACAGAGAAGTAAAAGTTCCGAGGTCTGCAAAATCAGAATGGAAAGGGCTAGTAAGACTATTAATCTAACAGCTATAATTGTTGAATTTGCACATCCCAATTCAGATGGCTACATCAGTGAAAAATATAAGTTTTATGAACAATCAATAAGAACCAAAATGCTACAAAAGTTATGCGTAAAGATGAAAAAATAGCCGAAACTTAGCAGGCTGGCACAAAACAGATGAATCTAGTACAAATAAATTTAAGAAGAGACCGAATTTACGTCAAATTGTTTTAAGAACTGCAATATTACTCATAATCCATAATATGTCAAGTTTTCATACCGTTCGACGAAAATTTGGCTCGTTTCTGCTGTTGTATGCATATGCGATTTTTTCTTGCGATTTTTTCTGGTCTTCCATGTCAAAAAGCCGTAAAAATAGAATTTTTTCCGACAATTTGTAGAGTCTTTCGCAATTCTATCAGAAATTATGTAAGGCTTCTTGGCAACCCCTCAGTCTGTTGATTCCGATGCTAACCTAACTTCTGATAGTTTAGGTCGAACTCGAAAATTTCTGAAGCAACCACAACAGGCTTGACTACAACAAATTTAGCAGAAAAAAGTAATTTAAGCAAACGTAAAACCATGAAAGCAGGAGTACGACATATATGTTGGTATAAAATTGATTGACGTTGAGGCACGCTGGAGTTGAAATATTGGGGTGAGAAACTGAATTAGGTTTTTTGAAGTTGAAGGGTCTTCTCTGCTACTTTAAAATCAGGCGCAGTTACCTTAAGAAATAACTATAACGTTTTAAGAAGAAAAAGAAAGAAAAAATATATTAAAAAAATAACAATTCGCAAAGTGAGGCGCGCGATGCCCTCACTTCACTGTTTTTTTAATTTTGTCGTTCGCCTGGTCGCGTCTGCCTTCGCGTGTAGACGCGGATTTAGACGAGCCCAGTGCTCTAAATTTAACAATTAGCAAAGTGAGGTGCGCGATGCCCTCACTTCACTGTATTTTTTATTTTGTGGCTGGCCTGGTCGTGTCTGCCTTCGCGTCTAGACGTGAATTTAGACGAGCCCAGTGCTGGCCATTTTTTCAGTTTTTTTTATTTTTTATCAATTTAGCCACTTTTGGCCCCCTTTTTTTTATTTATGATTTCTTCACTACAGTGATTTCAATTTGCATTGTTAGATATTTACTTGTTTGATCTCTTAACCTCCACATTGTTGATTTGTTTCAATTAATTATTATTGGGACAGAGCTGATGCTGCTTGGGCTTAGTTCGTTGTTGTTGGGACAATGCGCAAGGCACATTTCTCAAATTTATGTGGATTCATCCCTTTTCAGTAGTAAATTCTACCTTTGTTCTCAAGAAGATTATGACAGTGCGATTGAGACAATCCATTTGTCGAGCTCCTCCATTTTCTCAAATTAAACTGATATTCCTCTCAAGGGAATTTATCAACCATCACATCAATGTGGCGAGGTAAGTTGTTTTTCTTGATTCGTACCGCACACAAATCATGCTTTGTGCTACTGTACTAAAGACAATGTTGTGAAATTAACATCAGGGACGTGAACCTTTCGTCTCACATCAATAAGGTCTTTATATATTAAGCGCTCGACATCCAAAATCAATGCTAGAATCTCACTTTGACAATTTGTCCAATCTTAACTGATGCCTCACTATCTGCATCTAGAATCTTAATCCTTCAGAAGCTGCTGTCCACTTANGAAGAATTACCACATAATTCTGTCTCATCGACATCATGTTGATTTGTTAGTTGGTCAAAAGGGCGCAAGTTAAAGATGTTCATATGAAATGAAGGATCATTTGTTTCCTCAACTGTCACGACCCCAAACCCGGTCGTGATGGCGCCCAACAACATTGCTAGGCAAGCCAAACCACAATCGTTCCCAAATTAACCGTAAACCTCAAACCGACAATCTAAAGAGATTATAATGGTTTTAGAATAATAATCCAATATTTATAATAGAATAATACTGAGAAAAATACGAAGTCTGATAAAACGCTCCCAAAGACCTGGGGTCACGAGTCTAGAGCCTCTAAAACAATCTGAATAACAATATCTGAACGAAAATACTCAAGTCTGGAAATGTATATATAAACAAAACTGAAATAGGAAGAGTAGTCAGGTCCTGCGAACGTCAAGCAACTACCTCAACAACTCTGAATAGCTCTGGAAACAAGGACTGCTCAGCTAAGCCTCCAGTGTACCTGAATCTGCACACAAGGTGCAGGGAGTAGGGGTGAGTACTACCGACTCAGTGAGTAATAAGCATATAAAATGTCTGAAGATAAGAAATCCACGAAATGCCACAAAGCAAAGCTAAAACTAACAGTCCAACACCTAACTACGAACTAACAGCAAAACAACTTCAAATATATCAGTCAAGTATAATGTAAAGATGCAATGCAATGCACATGACCGCTACGGCACGTAGCCCGATCCATTTAACATCGACAGCGCTCACTGGGGGTGTGTACAGACTCCGGAGGGGCTCCTTCAGCCCAAGCGCAATATAATCATATCATTCGCTGCGGCGTGCAGCCCGATCCATACTCAGTCCACAATATGCATATGAGTCACGTAACAGATTCAATTAATTTCCCAATTTCCAATTTATTAAGGAGAATATACTTTAGATATTTAACTTCAGGAAAAGTGACTTAGCGTTTCATAACAGTGATTAAACACAGGACTGAGATTCAATGATTATACAAAACATGCTATCACCATGACAATCATCCTCTAAGGATGCTACAGATCGGCACAAGGCCCCAAACACGGCAATAAGCCCAGATATATTCAATACAGGGTGCGTATCAGTCGCCAATATAGAAATATTCTT